CTCATCACCACCTCCTAAATTACAGTGTATTTCAATGTGCAATGGAGCATGGTCGGAAAATTCAACAAATTCGCAAACCATGAATTTTTTAACAACAGAAAACATACTAAATGGCATTAATACATAATCAATAACACTCATTCCATTTGCACCACAGAAAGTAAAATCACTAGATAGATTGGCTAGGTCTCTACCATTTAAAATTCTTAGACCCGAGGATTTACATAGGTTTAATAATCTTGTACCAAATTCGTTGACTCCTGGATCAGGGTTTGTTCTGATCGGCAGAAGCCTTTCTTCATCAGTGTCACTTAAGTAGTTAAAAATGGATTCAATATGAGACTGTATACCGCCATATAAATTGTCGAATGAAATAAAATCATCTGTATTACGGGTACGACTGTTTAAATCACCTATAACCATTACATTTCTGGATTCAGAATATTCACTTATAACGTTTTCTAGAATTGAAAAAATATCACAATCATATTGTTCATAAAAACGAGATGAACTAGGTGGAATATATGTAAATAACAGTATTAGGTTGTCAGTACAACTGGTCAAATCCTGGTCAAGAGTAACCGGTATAATTGTATCAAACAAAACATTACCTACATTTACAAATTTAAAAATAGTATTACGTATTAGTAACACCAATCCACCACCTTGTGTACAGCGTGTTAATTTCCTTGGTACAACAACTGCGTGAAAGTCCTCAAGGTCTACCTCAAAGTCTTTTGGAATCCAGCACTCGGATAAAAAAATAATATCATAGTTAAGTATAACATTGCGGAATTCAGTAACTTTAAGTTTTTTTTCTATTCCACCATTTACGTTCCAGGAAATAATTCTGATATCGGTATCAGACACATGTTTCGCCCGGTCACACTTGGTACTGTCGTTGATTGTTGCCCCCCGACACCCCTATGTAGGCGAGTGCGTAGGCGTAGCTGTGAATCGACGTTGACGCTTAGAATGGCGTTGACCAGAAGTCGGCGTCCGGTCCAAAGTAAAACTTAAAACTTAAAAACTTAGTAACATATTAAATAGTCTCAAGTTATCTACTTTTATGAGTTTGGCTATAGCGATTACCTGTAATTAAGGCTATTGTTCTGCACTCAACACTAGTCTCACCTGGCCAACATGAAAATCTTACCTGTAGGTAACAAAAATACCAAATGTTGGCTAGGTGAGAAGACACCCTCTCAACGGACAGGGTGATCACCACACCGTGACATTACAACAATACGATTAGGTAGACAGTCCGTTGAGCCTTCACTACACTGACCTGACTGGAGACCCTAGTCTACTAATATATAAACAAAAGAGGAATAATCCCCTGTTGTTTAGAGTAAAAGTAGTGGAGTCCTTGTTTGGGCAACTGCACCCTTAGGCATATATAGATATTCAAACTTGCCATAGAAAATCATAGTTCACAGGATGGTTGATATTTGAAGAAAATCCCATATGAAAAAGAGGAAAATCTTCAAAAACATAAGTCCAGATTATTTTTGGACACAGAAAAAATGGTGTTGCCCGGGCAACTAGGGCAACACCCCATGGTCTGCCACTGCACATGTTGTATATAAGTAACCAATTACAGTTGTCGAGGTATTGCGGCAACTGCACTCATATCTATGAGATCTGCCGCAGTAAATGGAAGAAGAAGAAGGTACGAAGAAAATTTATTAAAGATAGTCTTATAATTATATCGTGTAGGAAGGGAGGTAACTCCTGAAGTATTGTGAGAATCCATATTTCTGCCAACATTTGGTATCAAAATTTCAAATTTCCTGCAACACAAAGTTGACAAGATATTCTTAACATGCACTTAAATATCAACACATATGGTGTTAAATACAGAAAAAAAGGCATAAAAACCTATCGTGGTGCTTTATAAACGTCTTGCGATCACTGGCCGTTCTTGATGTGATGTGTACTGCTTCTTGATGCCAACCATATGGGCTATCTCAGAAACATCATAACGACCGTCATTTTTAGCTTAGCACGTATAGAGCAAAACGCTACCGTAACATCGACAGCCGCCTTAACCAACTAAAGAAACGCTTGGAGAATGGTACAACAGATATAATCCAGTATGCCGACACAGCATCCCATCTTTTGCATTTAGAGTGAAATTGTGATAAATGTGCTTGTTATGGAATTTTAATTTGGTGCGCTTCTAGGATTTCTTAAAATTATGGACTTTTCATTATCTGTGCTTTTTATGGACTTTCCAATATTTCACCTTTAGTAAGTTAGTGCTATTATATTAGTTTTATATCATGTATCTTTGTGCATGTGTGCAATTTATGAATATGATTGATTTGATCAACCAGTGCTAATTATAAGTATTCCGTGTGTACATGTAATTAATTTTGTTTTATGTATGCTCATTCCCAGCTTTGCATCTGTTTTTGCATATATTTGTTATAAATTGCTTGCTAAATTTAGTTCTATTTTATGAAATATATATATAACATACTTGTAAATGTCTAGTAAAACTGTATACAATTGATGTAATATGAAATTAAAATAAGTAGATTTTCAGTTAATATATTTTGATGTGTTTTTATTACGTAATAACTGGAATCTTGTATATATATTAACTTATAATTCCAGTAAATATTACGAAAATCAGGAAATATATTTGTTAAATATTCCTATAACTAACACAGTATGTCCTAGTGGTGAACAGGTAAATAATCTACCTGTACTATACCAGAACAGACTATAATGACACATCTATTGTTTTCCAGTGTTTATATAATTCCTTCGATCAGAAAAAAGTGGGAGAAAGGAGAACAAACCATAGAAAGCACCAAGACAGTTTTGTACGCCCCTTTTTTTTCATTTCGCGTGGGTCTATGGTTCAGATACCGTGCAAGGAAGGGAAAACTATCAAAGCCAAGTTTTACAGAGACAAAAACCTGAAGATTGTCAAAAGATTCTACATAAAAACGTCCAAGTAAAGAGTTGAATGACGTACAGCTAATTCACGACAATGCTTCGATATATATATATATATGATAAAGGCGATTTTTAAAAACTCGTATTGGTACGCAGTAAATCTGCTTCCCCCGGGAAAACGCTCAGATAGACAAAATAAGATAGCAGATACAATATCTTATATCCACAGCTTGATTATTATGTGACAATGAACTGGTTAAAATGTCAGCAGTTGGTTGTATTTTGTAGAACACACATCAAAACAGAGCCGGACAGAAACTACTTCAAAGAGCTTGGACAGATACATTTTTATTCATGTCATGTGGATAATTGCGGCTGGTTCATCAAGGGTTATCTTAATTTTGGCAATCGTCAGTTGGAACAACGACATCGTGTCCTGCCATGTATGATTCAGTATGTTGAAATGTTGACACTGACTGAACCATGTGCTAGTTCTGACAGTTGACGTCACATTTAAATGTGCTAGTGGTGTTGGTGTACGGACTTTGTACATCTTACTGGTACATGTCCCTGAACGACCAGTAGCAGCAGTAGGGGAAGGCATTGGTAGCTTACCGCTGGTTGGTCCGAAGGGTGTTTATGAGTTTACCAAATTTGCCAGTGCCTAACAGAGGTGACACACGAGAATGTAAGGCAACCACACAGGGTACCCTTTCAGTTTTTCGGCCGGACTATGCATTGAAAAGCCCCTGCCTCCCCATCTGTTTTGTCGATTTTATTATTATCGATCAGAAGACCTTTTTATTCTCTACATATTGGGTGGGACCTAAGTTCTGAACAACGTCGCGAGAAGACGTCGTCATCCGAAACAATACGTCTTAATATCAGTGTTGGGTAATAGAATAGCTTTTGGTTGTGTGTGATTGGTAACAACTGGAAGGGAGGGGATACTGATGGGTGTCGGCAGGTTTGCTTATTCCGTTAGCGAGTGTTGAGAAAGTGTCAAGAACAAATACTGGAACTCCCCAAGGGAACCCCGAACTGCTATTATGTTTGATTCAATACAATGGCTTGTTATGGTGCCAACTTGGTGCCGATGGCTGTACCATTGACTTGTAGGTAGGGTTCTTCAGTGGATGTTATCTTTTTCAACACGATAACAAGACGAAACAGCTGGACGAAGTTCCGTTGAGGGATGTTTGATTTCCCGTGTCTCTCGCGCAGCACAACAGGCTGACAAGCCGTCCTCATGTTGGATATTGGAGTAAAAGGAGACAGCATCCATAGTTCCCAAGAGTGTATCATTGAATTGATTACTTTTATTATAATTTGTTGACTTTCAAGTAAGGTGTTAGGTTCTCTGCGTGAGGCTCAGGCTCAAGTGGAAGTCAATGAAAGTCCGAAAAACGATATTGTATTTCTTTATTTTTTCTAAACATTTTCTTCAGGTTGGCAAGTATGGATTATTAAAAGTTCTTTTTACACAACCAACAAATTGTTATTGGTTGTGTAAAAAGAACTGATATTGTATTTCATCAAATCATATTAATGATATCTTTTAAATTCATCAGCTATATCATATTATTTCTGTTTAAACTTATACTATATAAGATATCTTATCTGCTATCTAAGATTTTATACTTTCATAAAATACAGGATCGGCATTGCTAGTTGGCTTGCCATAGATATCCCATCGTGTTGGAATATCCTAATTTGTTTCTGAATGAGAGAGTCACGCCTTTTACCTTTTATTTTCCTAAAATATCTTCAAACTGTTAAAAGGAGCATTTTCAGTGGAAGCATTAAGTTCCATATTCTTAGCAGTAGAAGGTATGAATGAGTTTGTTGTGTATGTACAACAGATTATTTCAGATGATACAACTATCCTTAAGATATACATGCCAGCGGCTTTGATTGATTTTTAGAAATATTTTCTGTAAAATAATTAACGGGCGTATCTTTAATGAATATAATCGAATTAAGAGTAAGTATCTGTCTTTAGATAGAACTGAAGAATAATGAGCAACGGTGTCAATATATTGTGTTCAAATGAGCAACGGTGTCAACATATTGTGTTCAAATGAGCAACGGTGTCAACCTATTGTGTTCAAATGAGCAATGGTGTCAACATATTGTGTTCAAATGAGCAACGGTGTCAACACATTGTGTTCAAATGAGCAACGGTGTCAACATATTGTGTTCAAATGAGCAACGGTGTCAACTTATTGTGTTCAAACTCACACGTTGCCGTTTCAACACTATACTTGTGGCAGCTTGAGATTTAGCGTTAAAGATTTAGCGTAAGAAATTCCACTACAGTGTAAAACAAGGGATGTAAACCATTTAGGCTTGCCATTTTAGATATAATGCATTTTAGAAGGGAAGCTACCATCTTGCGTTCGTATTTTTACTATGTTATACAATACACAGTGACCTGATAATTTGTTACAGCTATATTTGGACCTAAACTGAGGTGTTCAAAGTAATTTGACACATTTTAGGGGTTTAGCTCAATTTTCGGTGAAAATGCCACCCCCAATCATGATACATTTTGTATAAACGATCTAAACCCCTAAAACGTGTAAAAAGGCTCTGAACACCTCAGTTTAAGTCCAAATATAGCTGTAAGAAATTCTAACGTCCCTGTGATGCAATTTGCCCAGCATTCAGTCGGTAGCCAAATGACGCGATTGATTTCCAAAATAACAGCTCTTCCAGAGAAAAATCCAATTCATGATGCTACGTTATGATTGATATGATTCAAACGTATGTATATTAATTAATTCTCCAATATAATCTTTTCATCGAAGTTCGTTGGTTATATATAATTATGTAAACAGAGGGAATTTCCCTTGGCGCTCAATCAACTATCCGTCAGGTACGTGACCCGGTGAATGTATCATATGTATTTTTTCTACTAAACGAGCCTCAGTCAATGTTAATATGTGACATATTGCTGTGAATTAGGAATCTGTGAATGAAAAAGATTAACGTTTACAAACGTAGAACTGTTTTCTCGTGTGAAATGGATGGTAATGATTGTCGCCACCCAATGAATGTCTATAGACAATCTTCGGTCTGAGATGGACGCTATTTAATTACAAGTTATGAACCACAGTGACGATAAACGCTGTCTTTGTGAATAGCGTGATTACATACGGGTACTCAACAGTTTTACCGATTCAAAAGTCACACTAGTGGATTTAATTAATTTATACGTTGGATCCAAACTTGAATAATTCACAAAAGAGAATTCATGAAAACAGGTCAAAGTTGTGCTAGTACTGTGGTCCAGACTCTTAGCATGTCTTTTCTGCTTAGCTATACAGTAGAACCTCTGTCGCGAGGAATGAGTTTTTAGATTTTACAAAAATATCTCAATAAATAAAACAGACAAAAATAATTAACATAATCGTCCGGCTTATCGTAGTCACTATAGGATAAAGATTATCTCACACAGAACAAACTCGCCCACGCGCTTATTAAGTAATCCATACACGTGTCGGTGTCTTAAGTCGTCCATTAATGAATGCATGCATTTAAATCATGTATGTGTCATTCGTGCGCATGTCAATTTCTACATGTTAGTTATATGCACGTTTCAGTTTCTACACGTGTCATGTTCGTTTGTCATGCACAATGTCAGTTTATTTATTTCATATACACACAGCACTGTCTGTAAGTCATGCACACTTCAATTTCCAAGCGAGTTATTTGCACGTGTCAGTGTTAACATGCAAGTCACGAACGTGTCGGTGATAACATGCAAGTCACGAACGTGTCAGTGTCTGTACGTCATGTGAAGACAAACAACGAACTTGCACAAATTCCCCACCTAATGTCTATATATGGGAGGGCTTATTACAAGGTATGTGTGGAGTGTTTGTATGTTAGGAGTTTGTGTCTATATGCCATGCACGAGCCGTGTCTTGCAGCAGACGGTCATGTGCGAGACTTGAGTTTCAGTGTTTAAATGTCACGTGCATGCTTCTTTGTCTTCAATTCATGTAAAACAACTCCATGATGAAAAGTGACGTCACATCTATTACAAACATTAAGATAACTGTACATTGCAGTCAAATTTTCACCTATCGGAGATGAGTTTAACATTCAAAGGCAAAGAAATAATGGAGCATTTCGATTAACGTATTTGAGAATCTGAAATAACTTTCCCAATGTCCACTTTAATAGGACATAAAGTCTATTTGGAAGTTTGAAAGCAGCGTTGCGAGGCAACCGGAAATGACACAATGAATGTTATGACGTGTCTTTAGCTCGAGTATGTAGGCCGTTCGTGTCCTTTGATACAACTTCTACAACGGGTTTTGTGTGCTTGTCCACACCAGTCTTAATCCCGGATGAGTTTGGTCGAGAAGAGGGCGTGGTGGCTCGGAGAGATTCATGTTGTTCTCTTTGTTTGATTCGCCGGAACTCCATGACAGAATGATGACTTTGACGTAGACACGAGTTCCGTTGTAGCCTCCTGTTGATTTCATCCTCACTCTGTTTACAGAAGCTCCCAACTTTATAGTCCAGAGACTCAAAACTGTTGATCTCCTTGCTCTTTCTCCATTCTACCATCTGATTGTAAAACGATTCTCGATCCTGAAGTTCGTCCTCGTCAAAGTACCTTACTTGTTCGTCGCGTCTCCCGAGACTTCCAAGGCGCGTTAACTTCCGGAGGGCAGCCTTGTCACCATTAAACACGCGTGCTGTACTCGGCCGGAGGTCGATTTTAGATCGTTGCTGATCCGTGAAAAACGAGGGATCCACCTCGAACTCTTCCTCCTGGGAAACTGATTGTCTTCCGCCACGATTACCAGATGATTTGGACGTCAACACAGCCGGACTAGTTTTAGGGCGCATTGCACTCCTGGTGAACGCCCTATGCTGAGTATTGTTTGTCATGAAGTCCTCGATATTCTGATTTTTTGGCTCTGTACTGTTTTTCACTTTCGATATTTCACGCTGTCTGTCCCGATATTTCCTTAACCTCTTTTTCATTTCGTTTTGAGATTTTCTCAAATCTAATGCTACGCTCCTCTTCGCTACGTCAATGTTGATTACTTTGAGTTCCAGAATTCTCTCCTCGACCTTGAGAGCGCGCACGGCCGACTTGTCAAGGTCAGGATACATAAACACGGCGCGACTGGCCATCTCTTGAGGCTTGACGTCACTGATGCTTAAACTCCTGAAACATATTTAAAACAATAACTTAGAAATACTGTGGCTGAAAATTTCATCTTTATGGACAAAAATGTTGGTAGTTACATAGTGTTGTGGTTTGGGACATAGGGACCTCAAAATTTGTTACAGCTATATTTGGACCTAAGCTAATATTAGGTGTTTAGAAAATGCCAACCCAATGATGATAATATATTATCATGATTGGGTTGGCATTTTTACCGAAAATTGATCTAAACCCCTAAAAGAGACGAACTGTCATGCATCAGTTAAGGATTAACACACATCTGTCCTCGATGCGTACTTCTGTGAACAATTATTTTTGCGTGTGTTTAATGTTACAGAGTAAACATATGAGATGACCAAGTTCAGGTAAATAGTCTTTAAATGTTTCTTCGTAAATACGAACGAGCTACAGGAGTTTGCGATCGACTATCTTCGCGAAATTTTCTGAAAATTGAAAGTACACAAAATACATCAACTGATATTCTTAACTCTGTATAAACAGAAGAGCACACGATTCGGAGAAATGATCGATGAGGTTAACTTTGAAGGTTTACGCAGGGATCGAACAGTCCACTCGGCTTGTCAGTCAAGCAAGTGACCCTGAGGAAACATAATCCATTACAAATTATCTGTATCGGAATAGTTCGGTCGTCCTCCTCCATTGGTACTATATAGACCTGTTCACTAGGGTGATCACTACCAATGGAGAACAGCTGAGAGTTTTTATTTTCTGACATAGTTTGGGAAACAGCCATATGACTCATTGACGTACAGACGGAAGGTTCTGAGTCAATCATTCTACTGGCCCGTCGACTTTGGTGCGTGGATTACTTTGTTCAAGTAGGGTGTCTATTTAATGTATATTATTTCTTTAAAATTCGTCCCACAATTTAATGTCGCTACAACAACCCCTTGCTGCTTGTTATAATCCATCCCCTAATGCATGCTATAATCAGCCTATATATAATGATAATTTATATACACTGTATCAGCTATATATCTCATCTATAAATATTCAAATTTTCTTTTTTTGTTTAATTTAGATATTATTTATGTCTCAAAGTTAAATAAACATTAGAATTATTTAATTATATTCGGTGTCGATATATATATGGACTGCTGTTAGCCGTTATCGTTTAACATTGCGGTTCTGTATAGTGTAAATTAGTCTAAATATCGAGCCTAAAGTCTCTATCCAAATTACATTGCACACGTGATTTTTGAATCTATTTTAAAATATATTTATTTTATTTCATTTATCTGACCTATAATTGAATTTAATGGTCCCGAATTAAGTAAATTAGTCTCTGTTTATTTAGGGATTTTAGTCACTGGAGTGGAAATTCCATTCAATACCTAATGAGTATTTAGATAGAAATCCCGCACGGATTGACACTGTTTACATATCATTGTGTGCTGTAGAAGTGTTTGTGGGCCGCTGTTTGCAGTCTATAGCGACAGGCAGGTTCCTTTGTGACGACTTTAGAACACTTCCAGCCACCATATTGATAGATTGCTTAATTTTATTAGAATAAATACACAAAGTGAACCTGCTATATTGACAGACATAGAGCTCGCTGTTGATACTTTACTGTGTTGGGTATAACAATGTAAGGGTTTGTAAATACAAGTCTGTGTAATGACTGTAGAACTGGGTAGTGTCCATCACAACCTCTGTGGTCCTGGTAGTCGTCAGCAACATGCCAATGTGAGGCACTTCTTAATAATCAAACTTCTGTCAGGTGAAGAGATGCTGCCGTTTTCCCTGATTAAAACAAGAAGGGGGGGGGGGGG